CGCGAATCTCATTGTGAAAGTTCACAGCTCTGGTGTCTTAACACCACTTATGGTTATCGGAGTCAATACAGACAACGCGAATGCTGTCACCTTGAGAGATGAGATTGAATTTTCAATTATATGGTATAACGGTTGTCCTCAACTTTCGGACAAAGGCTGAGACAGGAGGAATGGGTTTTGCTGCTGCCCGTGCGCTTCTAGAGGATGCCTTACTACCCGAGAGCAGCTGCTTTGTGACTGAATCGACTACCGGATTAGAATCACGGCTCGTTGAGAAGATATGGCGAGAAACTCAGTAAGCTGATGTATTCTGATGGATAGCAACGCGACCTATCTTCAGTATAATGCTTCTAGAGCTAACACTAAACATACCATAACGGGTCAAATGACTCATTTTGAACTTTTGCATTGTGCACCTTATTGCTTTTGTACATTTGACTTCACGACTTTTTCTTACGAATTAATCTATTGTTATTATACTATTTTTTTGGTTGTTTTGTTCTGTTCTTTTTTGAGTAATAGTTGTGGTTTATTATTCGTATTCTCGGGATATTATGCTCCGAACGCATAAAAGTCAAACACACCAATTCAACAATATATAATAATAATATGTGTACAATGTTATAGTATAAAGTAAAAAGAGTAAATGAAACTAGACACTACAAGATAACAATTCAAACTAAAATTATAATACGTTTTACAATCTATATATTAATATAGCCACAAGGTGTGGTTTTAATGCGAGCAACCAAAAAAATATTAGAATTAAGTGTCATATATCTATATATTAATACGTGAAGCAAAAACTTTGTATCCCTTTTTACGAAAATTGCGCGGACGGAGGAGTATGAAATTTTCCACACTTATAGAGAATATAGAGACGAAGTGCACAATGCTAATATTTTTTTAAAATAATGCATAAAAGATATATTAAATTAATAAAGAAAACATTACACACACTACATACTATGTATTTGACGCACACACGCATGCATACTATTTATTGTCAAACTTTTGTTCTTGACGTCTGTTGTCAAATTGAGAATAGATTAAATATTGTTTGTCTTTGTTAATATTTTTTATAGTGTAGTCTTGGCGAAATTTGTGATTATAGAAGTATAAAAGACAATCATAATAGTGTACAAACTTACAATTCCAATTAATTATAGTCGAATTTCGACTACTGCGGGACCTCTAGTCAACTTAAATCGAAGCGCGCGAATCACGTAGCATGACGTCACGGGACACCTGCGCGTTCGGGAACTCCGATCGCATCCGATGACGCCCGAGTGGGACCGAATGTTGCACGCTACATACTTGTCGTATACCGTTATCCACCCGCATACCCACACTTAGTGATACCTATTTCTAGGTATCATCACTAAGTGTTGGTATGATTAGTGTTAAGTTAAGGGCAAACAGTCCCAGAAGTCAGTGTTTCCTGGTAAAAACTGGGTAAGCAGTTTATAGTAGAATTCCTACCTGCAAGTAGCCTCGCTCCACGAATCTATTATGTAAATCCGAAACATTCACGAAGTGGAATATAAATCTTTATGTTGCTCTTCGCATATTACTTTAACTGAAGGACCGTGTACAAGTCATAAATGTAGTTTTACTGCTATTTTTTATTACCTCCTCCGTGCATATATGTTACAGTATGTACGAATTTTTATCAAGCTTTTTTTTGTCGTAAAATATGTTGTATTGCTTCTGAAGTCGGTAGCAGTTATTTCGGTTCGGCTATTTTATGATTTCATTTTTTTTAAATACTATGCTTAATAAACACGCTGTATGTAACGCTAAGATACAGCATGTTTATTTTTAAGTTTTATAATTTTATTATTATTTTAATAAGTAAAGGTATTTCTATTCCTAGTCGGTACTGTGTTTTTTCTCTTTCGTTCGTATATGAAGATAGCTGATATTGAAAAAGACAAGACATATGGTAAATGTCAGTGAGTGAGGTGAAGTTTATTACACTATTGGCACTAATGCCAGCGTATTCTTGTTTGAAGGGGTGGATAATATAAACTTTGGAATTTTGGAAAACGAAAATGGATGTGTTTCGTTCAGACTTTGACCTTTGATTTCAAGGGTGTTATTTTCTTGTGATGTCCATGAACTTCGGCAACTACTTAATCAAGTAGTCCCTGAACTTATCTATCCACTTAATGAAATAAATAACTGGAACAGGAATAAGCATAATAAATGTTAGTTTTAAAATACACACAAGGATGTGTTGAAGAAAAAAAAAAACATGTCGTTTTTCACTAACTTTATTTGTCAAAATTTCGACATAAATAAATCATCATGTAATTACATAATTTACCTGTCTCTACATTCCATATCGGTTCTTTATAAAATAAACCTTATTTTCGTAATGATTAGAGTTTATAATACATTTACTGCTTTTTTAATGGAATAACCAAACAAAAAACGAGTAATATTTAAAAACTAAATTTATTTACATTTTTTTATTGTTATTTACAGATATTTTACAACTTCTTTTAATTTACTAAATAATTAATAACTATGTACTGATTAAAATAAATTATATAATTTACTATGCGCTACGAAAGTGTTAGGGGTCATTTGATTTTGTTGCTGTTGCTGTCATACATATTTATTTATTTATTGGTTAGAAAGTGATGGAGAATCAGAGTTATAGAGCGAAACTAAATATTTCCGAAGCCGATTTGTGTACAATAATAACAAGCTATCTTAATAATTATTCAATCAATTTAAAAGCCTATCAATTAAAATAGGTATTTTTGTGTATATAATGAAAATAAGGCTTAGGAGCATTTCTTAATAAAATCACATTGAGTATTCTATTGAATTTTCTGCACACCCTATGTTAAGTGAACATTAGATATTCTTTGATACTTGACATTGAAATTTTAATTGAATAAGCGGGTGTCCAATCATTCACCCCGGATGAATGGTTAAGAGACCTTGACAGAACAGCCAAAGCTTCATGTGTAAGCTCACGATATCCGGGGGACATTATATATATATATTCGTTTTTTTTTATTGCATAGGGGGGTGGACGAGCTCACAGCCCACCTCGTGTTGAGACCACTCAACTATACAATACTGGAGCCCAAAGACAGCTACGACGTAAATTCGCCACCCACCTTGAAATATAAGTTCTAAGGTCTCAGTACAGTACAACGGCTGCCCCGCCCTTCAAACCGAAATTATTACTGCTTCACGACAGAAAACACGGCAGTACACTGCGCGTATTTATATGTCAGGCTACGTGGATAGTTGACGAATCAAATACAATAGGTCCTTTCTCAAATGAGATCAAAAGGTTTTTTATTAATTAATAATTAGTAACAATAAAAATAAAAATATATCACTTAGTTTTGAAGCAGTTTGGAAACTAAATACATTTCGCGCGTCTTTAGGGCTGTCAGTGAAAGTAAAAATCATACTATTCTGAAGGTCTTTTGAGCCCTTGTTTAAAGAAGAAGGACTTCTCACAGTTCTGGTCTATAACAAAAAACATATATATATATATATATATATATGCCAGGGCTTTTCAAAATTTACAAATAACGCTGTATATACCTAAATATTTTTTTAATAATATGTATTTAAAGTATTAACAACACGAAACTTATTTGAAAAACTCTGATGTGTTTAACGTTTTCTTGAAATTTTAGGTTATCGTAAGTGAAATAAATCCAAGGAAATATTTTGGTAAAGAATATAAACTACATATCATATAAATCACGGTGCTGAGTTTGAATAAGATTTAATAAATACACTAAATATTTGAATTACTTAAAATACAACAAATACTTAAATTCTATAAACTCTATTTTAAATACAAAACACTAATATTATTCTTCTATACAGTTTCAGAAAGTGATTTTTGATGGAAGCTGGTAAAGATCATGAAGTAATGGAATTTGAGCCTTATTTGAATGGGAATGGAATTCGAAACTTATTGAAAGTATTTGATAATTACAAGTGTAATATGAGCGAGAGAGATAATAATGAGAGAATGGTAAAACTGCCACGAGAAAACTGTCGATACAGTCAGTGTACATTTTTGGGAGCAGTGATGGAATTCCGTTGGCAGCACTTAAATGTCAACAGAAAATATAGATTTAGCTCCTCCTAAAAACCATCCTGCAGTCACAGTCAACAGATATTTTGATGTGAAACATCTTTAGCCGCACGTAAAACCGATTTCTGGCGAGGCGACGCATGCCGTGGCGACGCGTCGCCATGCGCAATCGACTGTGCGATTCTCTCCCACTCGATCCGGCGTTAAGCCATCTCTCTCGCTACACTGAGCTCGGATACCTATAGTGTATACTCCGCAGTGTATACAGTGTTGTTTACTACAGTACACATAACCTGTGTTTTACTTGAAAACAAATTATTTATTCGTAATATTTTATTTTATCATTATGACATATTTAGTTCCTATCACAATCTGTTCTTTTCTGCATATTACTTTACAAAATAATGTCGATGTTTCACATCTGCCCGGCGTCCCGCGACGGCTCACATTTTTTTTTAACATTCGTTAATTGCGTGTATATTTCGATGAGCCTGGAAAAGCTGCGTAACCATTTTTATTTGTTATTTTTTCCTACCTCTGCTGATGGCCTTGCGAGGCTATTTCAGGTGTAGGTGAAACTGCTGAATTTACCGTAGGGTGCATTATACACTGTTTTGTCAGGTTGTGAGATCACTTTCAAAATAAAATGGCCCTTTTCGTATTTCTATTTAATAATTATATCTGAGTTACCGTTTTTTGTTACATCTTTTACTTTCTCACCGGTATTTTTAAACGTTATACATAAATTTTGTAACTTTACTGCTTTAGTTTCTTTGCTAGCTTTTTGTTTTCCAAACAAAAAAAAACTAACAAATATAATAGAATTTGAAACTAAATCCCAAGCTCCTAAATATTTACCAGCTTTCATCATACAAAGCCAACAACATTACCCAATGTTGTCGGATTTATTATTTGGTTTTCATCTAAGCCCATCGATTGTGTTCGTGTATAGAGTGGCTAAAGTGCAGTATAGGGAGATGAGAAGATTAACGGATAGAGCACACGGTGATGCTGTGTTGGCGTTGCCGTGCTGCATTGCTGCTGGGTGCTCACCTGTTAAAGAAAAGTCAGATTTAGTTAATGCAGATAAGATAAAAAATCGTTTGAGACTGAACTGAACTTGAATATTTTGTATTTGTTTTAGGTAGATTGCCGTTATGATGGATTGACCAAATAAAGGCAGCTCAAAATGGTCCCGTTAACGAGTGCATAAGAAGGGCCGCGGTACGCGAGGAATGGTAACGTCAGGTGAAGCTCACCACCACCGGAAGCCACGATGAAAAGAGAATAAGTATTTGTTTTACTGTATTGTTCTTTCCACTGCTGTTTAGATATACGTCCTTTTTTATTATTGCTTTGATGGGTGGACAGGCTCACAGCCCGCCTGGTGTTAAGTGGTTACAGGAGCCCATAGACATCTAAAACGTAAATGCGCCACCCACCTTGAGATATAAGTTAACTTGTAATAACAGAAGTCATATAAATTAATGATAAATTTGCGGGTAGGAAGAAACAAAATTAATAACCACCCTAAAGGACTTTTTGGCGGGAACGCGAGGAGTGAGGTTGTGTGATTTGTTTTATTTTGTCTATTTAGTGTTTCTTCGGATTTAAATGTGTATTAATGGTGGTTTATTAACCGTTTAATATCTGTAAAAGTGCACAAATGTGGGAAAATAAAACAAAGCCGCTGGACGTAACTTCTCGGGATCCTCCAAAAAGTCCACTGAAAAATCTTAGTAAATGACCACCATTTTACTAAGATTATATTTCATTCCATATCATCTCATTTCATTTAATTTCATCCCAGTTGATTAACGTCTCAAATTAACCATTTTCATTTCATTTCACTCCATAATATCATTTTTCATAAAATTAAGAATATAGTTTAAAATAAGACATGACTTAAAGGTCTTAGTTACCAGGTCATAAAATCACTTAAAAAAAAACATAATCTATACTAATATTATAAAGAGGAAAGATTTGTTTGTTTGTTTGTTTCGAATAGGCTTCGAAACTACTGGACCGATTTGAAAATTTTTTTTCCATTAGAAGCCGATATTGTCCCTGATGAACATAGGCTACTTTTTTTAATTTTTTTTTATTTTAATTTTTTGATTTCATGTGTGTTTTAATGTTTCCGAAGCGAAGCGAGGGCGGGTCGCTAGTTAATGATAAATTTGCGGGTAGGAAGCAACAAAATTCATTACCAGCCTAAAATCAATAGTAACGTGCCAGCGAATTGCGATAGATAGGCAATAACTATACGAGTATGTGTCAATGTTTGTCCCATATTTGTATTGGTTTATTTATCATTGATGTTAGTTGTTTATTTGCTCATGTCAATCCGTTATAGCAAGTTTAGATTTATGAGGTTTCGTGAATATGTATGTATTAACATATACGCGACTTCCATGAAATTTGAAAACATAGACATTTTTTTTATTGCCCTTGTAGTCAGACGAGCATACGGCCTACCTGATGGTGAGTGGTTACCGTCGCCCATGGACTTCAGCAATGCCGGGGGCAGAGCCAAGCCGCTGCCTACCAAAATCTTTACTGCATCAAAATCTTCGATATTTCGAGTGGCACACCGCGAGTCGCAAGCGCTTCGTAACAAAAATAGCAACTCCGCAACGTACAACGTTGGACATGATAAAATTAACATGAATCAATTTTGAATTAAATGCGAACATCAAATTTAATACATGATTGGATCCCCGAGGGTCTTTCAGTTACAAGGAGCTTGAGTTCACAATCAACGTTCAGTGTAAATCGCGTATAACAAGATCAAAAGAATCACCGATGCTTCATTTATGTTCTATAAATGGTTTTAGGTTTATAGGGCGAATATATTTCTTTTTGTTGAAATATATTGCTTATTTTCTTTAGCACCTACACCTTTTTGGTTGTTTGAATGGAATTTAAAAAGAAAACACGAGGAAAATATGTGTTTTTTTATAAAATAGGCAACTTGGAAAACATCTTGTAAGTGCTTAGTTGGTATTAACTATAACTTTGTTCACATGTTAGTTTACGATAGTACGTGATGTGTTACTGCTTCAAGAAATATTTCATGAAAAGTGCTTGTCTCAACATTGGAAACTTCATTGAACTCAAGATGAAACTGAGTTAGTTATGTAAAGAAAAACAATGCATCAAATGGGAGTCCTGTTTGCTGACGACATTATCTTTCAGAAAATCGGTAGCGAAACGCGATAGTTAAAAAGGCTGCCTATTCGAATTCAGTAATATGTATCTATATTGTAAATACAAAAATCTGGTAAATTGATTTAATTGCGTGCGTAAATTGAGATTTTTATCGCTAAAATTAATTAATGGAAAAATAGCTATGTATCCGTTACTCGATTTAATAACCGAGATACAGGGAATATTCGATATTTAGGAAGATATAGTTTGAGTTACAAGCGTAATAGTATTCATGGCCTTTTGGATTAAATGTATGGTGTATACGTATCGGCTAATCTGGCTAAGTCAATGTTCAAATTTCATGGGATAAAGAAACTATTCTAAGTAAATGTAAAATATTAAAATAAAAATAAGTACACCACACCACATCATCTCAAAGAACAAAAATGTATCTTATAAATTTTATCCGGGCCACAATAGTAAGGTCATTCATAATTTTACAATCAGGGTGATTGGGGAACAATCAAATTTCTACCATCGACTGCGAAAAAAATCCAAATTCCAAGAAAGAAATAAATCATTTATACGCCAAGCATAAATGGGTTATTACATAAGTTAAAAGCAGCGTGTATGCTTTGTCCTTATTTGACATGAGAATTTTATTGCAGTGCAAGATATTATAATATTATATAATTTACCATTCATTCATCCATAATTCAACTAATAATAAAAAAATCCATATATTTTCAATTTCGTCCCTTACCTTCTTACCTATTTTTAACTTACCATTTATGACGTGAACGTTCACAGAAGCTGCTTCCGCCATAGTGGGCACGCAGCTGTAGTTTCCGCTGTCACCTGGCATTAGCTTGTCTATCCTCAACCTGGACGTGAGCTGCTCCGTCCATTCCGTTTTAAGATGAAGTCTGGGCTCCTCAGCAACTTCATTCTCCTCGACTTCCTTATATTCTATTAGGTTTGATCCTGAAATTAGGACTTTCTTGAAATACTACAAACTTTTAGATACAGTGTATATTAGGTAAATTGATTAATCTATACTAATATATAAATGTACAGTGGTTTTTCCGTTATAACTACTGAACCATGCATCCGATTGACTTGAAACTTGGTATCCATGTAGAAAATACATGTACTTAATGGATAGGCTAATATTTATATGAGTGTTGGACTCCCTACATCAGTTGCAGGGGCGTTAATGATGAGAATCTTTGTGGGGGTGAGAAATAATAATAATAATAATAATGTTTTTATTTCAAGTATCCATGACTCATATAAATTGTTAATAAGACTTAGACCTATGTTAGTAGCTATATTTACATCACAATGAATTACTGTGGTAACATCCCATGGGAGATGGCACCACAGCGACCCATGTATATACAGTCCAGCCTGCTTGCGATCATGCTCAGGATACTAATGTTGATAATAATAATGTTGATTTTAAATGCCCAGCAAAGCGGAAGGGTACAGCTAGTAGATCATATAGGTATAAATACTTTAAATTATTGAACTACTCAGTGTAAATGGAAGATAGCAAACGCATTTCATGTCGTACGAGATTTGTTATCTTTTTTTGTCTACTTTAGATACAGTGCAATAAGCATTGCACATTCAATAGTATAGGCCAGATTCTCATAGTAATAAATAAAACACTTAAGACAAGATCAAACTTCGAATACCAAATAAAATTATAAAAACTGCCAATCGAACTCGGACCCCTGTTGTGGTAGTCAAACGTTAACTAGATAACCAATGAGAGGAAAAGAAGACTGAAGGCCTTATTAGAACGATACAACCGTTGTCCTAAACTTCATTTTGGAATGCATGAAATGATACGCGCCATGTAAAAAAGGCAATTTTATATAATTAAAATTGCACGATTTTCAAATCTTCGTCGTGGATGTTGTTTATTTAAACTATTAGAAACACGCTTACAAATGAATGGTACACGCCACAAGATTTCAACCCTAGTATAATAGTCAAAAAACCCAAAATGAGTATAAATCAGGTATCTTAAAACTAGGATAAAGGTGCTTAAAATAAAATCTAAGAGTTATTTATGCGGATAAGGTATGTTATTTAAAACCCAACTCACCCTTATACCAAAATATGGTTCCCAGATCGTGTGGGCCTTGACTTAGGATACAAGTTAAAGACAGGGAGCTTCCTGTCTTAACGTACAGATCTGCTGGGCCAAGGATGTGTGCTTTTGCTTCTGTGAACAAACAGAAAACCAAGTTACTCGGTACAATTGCGTAAATGTCCTCCACATTCTTTATGTTTAGTCAGTTTTTTCGACGCACTGAGCTTACGATACTCTAATTATTTCCTTCCATATTTGTAAAAACTAAAGACGTGCTTTGTTGTAACTATTGCAAAGTGTATCTAAAATATTTTAGTCATTGCCAATCGTTAAATACCATTTTGGGTCGGTGACACAAACAACTATACCAAACTAAGTTTCAGAAAATGCTGCTGCCTATTTTGTGTTATTCAGCCCGTTCTTACTCAGTGACATTTTATACCCTTGGAAAGAGGTGCGGTGATACTATTTTAGATTAAAATCACACAGTAACTAAATTGAATAAGAAACACACTAGAATACACATAATTTTTAAAGTCGTTAAGTTTATTTGACAAATATCCAGAAGTACAATCATTAACAATTGTATGCAGCAAACCGTCCAAACAAAATGATATTTGCGAGTCTTTTCGAGTCGTGAGCCTTTTTTAAATGTTTTATTCTAAAAGCACTATCGACACACGAAAATGGAATATTAGGATTAAAATTCAATGAGATTAAGAGAGGAAAAGGAACCAAAGATAAACGTTGGGTCGATAGTTCAAGAACGTTACTGAAGGGTTTCCCATGAGCTTCCAAACACGTGCTTACTTCGCATAATCGATATATTTAAGAAGTGATATGCTTGGAAAGTTGTAGCACTAAGCGATGAAGCACGGCCAATTATCCAGTCTGTTTTTGGGGCGTGCAATAAGCCGCACCAGTTTGCGTTATTCTTGAAGCTTGGCAAGACTCCAATGTGTCAGTTTGTGACTGTACATGATGTCTAAGACAACGTTTAGGTTCTAGCCGTAGCATCGACGATTAAAACACTTTATGTTTTCTAACAGCGGGTTCTCAGCATAATCACGCTTTTTGAAGGGCTTTTATACTGTGGCGGGTAGCCATCATACAATACAAGATATTTGATAGATGCCTGAATCTAGCTTACGACATTTTCCTTAATTCGTCACTCACCGGTCGATACATATTTTATTTTTATTGCTTTTGTGGGTGGACGAACTCACGGCTCATCTGGTGTTAAGTGTGTGAATGGCTTAAACGAAGAAGGGAAGATCTTCCACCGAGCGGGTGATATTGCTCGGTAGACCGACGGTCCGAATGTTGTTGTTCGGAACTTGTATATATGCAAGCTTATCTTGAAAATGTCGTAAGCGAGATTCAGGATGCCCGCCACAGTACTAAAGTCACTAAATTGTATTACGACCTTACACGACATATCGACGTAGACACTGATGGGGAGTTGATTCGAAATTTTGGTAATCTGACAAGAAAAACTTAAAAGAGAAATTGAGTTGATCAGAAATTTTGATAATCTAGCAAGAAAAAACTTAAAAGCGAAATTGGTTCTGTGACTGTATCTCCTTCATGTAAATATTCAATTAACTTAATCAGGCGTCGTAGCTTTTCACTCGCGTGTGCTTCTAAGTTGAATTAAATTAGAAGCTTTTAATTATAATCTGGTAGCAAATCGTTTTGCTCGGTTAAATTCCGGGAACGACTTTAATGATCAAGGAAAAATAAATGTAAACAGGAAAAAAAACGTTTCAGTATGATGAACGTTTGCTGTTGAAACTCATTGCAGACCCGAAATCAATAAGCGAGGAACTTACGCTGAATTCTAAAAAAGGTCCCAGTAAAACGAGCCGCCTTCGAAACGGGCCTAATTTAAAATTCAAATCGTTCTGCTGATAATGAAAAAGGTAGCCCCCATAAACACATCATGCGAGGCAGCTAAAAATATAATTTTCAAATTATTTAATCCTGCAGAGCATGTGAGTTTGAAACATCACCTACTGACACCAACTAATTAATATACGAACATAACAAATCTGATAATATTGCGACAAAGAGTTTTTTGCACACGCGCTAAACAAGATTTAATTATATTGAATGCAAAATTCCACTTGTACCAAAAAAAAATTCCTTTCTTGAAATTTCCACTAAAATCAGCACGTTGAGATATTTGAACCGGAAGGCCCATCAAGCGCGCAGAGTAACATGATAAGGCATATATAAAACGACAAAGGAACCGTTCAAAATATTCTCGAACGAAAAAAATTGGCTCGAGATTAAATCTGTGAAACATTTCATCGGGGCCCTCAATTTAGCAACACGGGTGCGTCTTACTCGCTGTATTTTTGAAGATCTAATATTGGATGTGGCCATTTCACGAAGGAAGACAATAAGAGCTGCTTCGGAGTACACAGTGAGAGGTTAATTAAGGAGCAGGGTTGTCGTCTAGGAAATTGGGAGTCGTAAAACAATGCTTCACGCTGCAATGAACACCAATGGTATTTTTATCTAATATAGCTTTATGAAATGTAATATTTGCTTTCATTACTAGGTTCATAGGTTTGTTTTATCGCACCTGTGACGGGTATAAATAGTTTTGATCCAAAAGTTCGCAGGTCTGCGAATGGGTACGTACCATTACGTTTTCAATGTTTCATAAAGTAATGCATACAACATAAAGTAGATTCCCCAGTACCCACATTTGGCAGCCTATTAGGTATGGTTTTACATTGGCAAAGGTATATTCGTAACTATCTATCTGTCAACTCGTCCACTGCTAGACATAAGTCTCCCTTAAGCCTCGCCACAATGTCCTGTGTCCAGTGGCTCATTTCTTTACTCAATGTTCGATAATACAGATCTATTTCTTCTAGTTCTTNTTAGGTATGGTTTTACATTGGCAAAGGTATATTCGTAACTATCTATCTGTCAACTCGTCCACTGCTAGACATAAGTCTCCCTTAAGCCTCGCCACAATGTCCTGTGTCCAGTGGCTCATTTCTTTACTCAATGTTCGATAATACAGATCTATTTCTTCTAGTTCTTAGGTTCTAGCATTGGGTTGAGTAAAAAAAAAAACGGGAAATCAGAAGTTGCTGTGAGTGGTGACAATGAATTTCGGATCAGGTCATGCCATGACATGACATGGTTGTCTGTATATTTAGCTACCCGATCACTACAAATAAGACTAGATGTGTAATAACATAGAGTTCAGTATTTTTCTTTAATAAATCGAACCAATTTTCGGCTAACACGCCAAAACCAATGGCTAAGCAGTAAATAAAACTGCCAATCATTAGCTATCGAAACCAAAGATCCATTCGATAATATTATTTAGGTCAAACCGAAAGAGCAGTGAAATAACAAGAAAACAATTTTGCCAGACAGCATAATTACCGAAAAGTTCTTCGCAGGATGCCAGCAAGCAAAACAGCTTAACGCGCTTATCAAATTTTAATAACCTTAAATAAATGACAATTAAAATGACATGGTATTTTTCTCAAAATCGGACTGACTATTTTTTATTTATTGCATAGATGGATGGACGAGCTCACAGCCCACCTGACGTTAAGTGGATACCGGAGCCTATATATGTCTACAACGTAAATGCCGCCACCCACCTTGAGATATGCGTTCTAAGGTCGCACTTCAGTACAACGGCTGCCCCACCCTTCAAGCCGATACGCATTACTGCTTCACGGCTGAAATAGGCAGGGTAGTGGTGCCTACCCCTGCGGGCTTACAAGAGGTACTACCACCAGTATGGGCACTTAATGTTCGAAAACTTAAGTTCTCAAATTTATAAAGCTTCAGTCGCAAAAAACTTGTTTGATTATGTAATAGAACCAGCACTACTTAAGCGAAAATTGTGTATTGAGTGTGTACCTTGAATTATTATCGTCGATTAGAATGAAATTTATCTTAATATCTTTGAGAGGTATTCTAACTGGCAGAATCAACAAAATTGTTGAATCACAGAGAAGATTTAAAAAAAATTGTCTGCGATCCCAAAATTAATTTTTTTACATAATAAAATAAAATATAAGTAATTGAATTATCACATATATTTTGGTATTATTGTATTATAGTATCGTAGAATGTGTTTCATTTTAGTTGCCCCACGACAATTGTGTAAGCAATTTGTAATATACACCACGTATCCTTGTCAAAACTTTGAAAGTACTTTGTTATAGGAAACGGCTTTATCAGAACTTTAACACAATCTTGTTTGCTAAAATTATTATTATGTAAATCTAATGCGATAAATAGCAAGCTACAAGTTTCCTAAGTTCTTGTTAAATTCCTAAGTTTACTTGTGACTTGTCGTCAAACACATCATTCTCCCTAAGGGTACATTCACGCTTAGCGTATCGATAGCAGTTTGTATTTCGATAACTTTCTTGTTTGTAATTCACTTAGACATTTAGTCATACATTATAAAGCTAAAAAATTATCTATCTTAAACAAATACGGATGTATAGAATATTAATGCAACATTTGATAAGCGCGTAATAAGTATATCGAACCCATTGAAGGTTATTATTAAATTCAAATAATAAGCTTGAATAATATTATATACAATTATTTATTAAATTCTATTTTCAATGTGGTGTATCGACCAAATCAGAACCACTGTGGGAGATCTGTAGCCGTATAGCCTTGTAAGATGGGTGAAATTTGCTCCGTCCAAAGCTACATAGGCGTTTACGATCACTCTATCAAGAAGGATATGATTAAGAAGAAGTAGTATTATTTAAATTACATAGATATTTTGGTGAAATTTGTTAAGCTATTACCATAAGTAAGAGAGCAGTTGTCAATGAGGCTATAGCTTAGAGATCTTGCTTAAATCGCGGAGTTGGTCACTGTAACCAACTGCGGAAGAGATGGGGCTGGACGGAAAACGAAAGCTGTGAATGCAGATGCCCAGAGCATACTGTACACCACATTGTTATGGAATGCCCACCAACGAAATTCGCAGGCCAAGTGGAAGATCTTAAAAATGTAACAGAAGAAGCTATCGATTATTTCACAAACTGTAAATTTAAATTATAATCACGCCTCGTAAAGGAAAAAAAAAAAAACGTCCAAATCATTGTGACACAAAAATGTATCAGACAAAACTATTAGAGTTTCCTCTGTAAATTTATTTACGATCCAGGAATCCCAGACATATTTTACATCAACTGCGAATGTGGTTTTAGTGCCAAACTTTGCGTTACGAACTTAAGTTTGTGCTGTTAATGGTCCCAGATTTTACTAAGCTTTAATGGAAACTGTCAAGGACCTTGTTTAGATTAATTATCAGGGGTTACTAAATACTCAGATTAAATTCTAGTTTGTCTCCTATTTTGTTAAGAGTAACATTTCGATATTAAAATTTTGTTGTTCTATCCTTGACTTATAAGATTGATGAAATTATTAAAATTTGTACATACTCTGTTATTACTTTTTTTAAACAAATTTCTGTATTATTCAAACAGTATTCGTGTGATAATTATTATGTCAATATTAAAATGCGATAGGTAAGACAAACTGATGATCTAAATTTATTAAACAAAACATTAATATGTTTATTAACTAATTTCATACATCAATTTGTCATGAACATGCAAACGAATGTGTTGAATACGTGGAGATTATTAACTCCACTCACGGGAGGCGGCGGTGACTTTTGTGCTCTCGCGAGACCACAGACCTGGCAAGTTCTCTGATCTGAGAGTTACATTAGGTAAATAATAAAATAAAAGAAAAACCTCATTGAATTCGAGATCTGGCTCTTTTTATAAATAACGTGCCGCATCACTACGGATTTTTTTAATATTTCATACTGACCAACGACATTAAGCTGAAATGCCAAAGACATCTTTGGTTCCGTGTTGACTTGGCACTCGTATATCCCGGCGTCTCTCTCCTGTGGGAATTTAATCTGCAGCGTCCAATTTTCTGACTTCTCAGGCCGAATAACCTGGAACCTCTGGTCGGATGTGTAAGTCAAAATCCCAGCTGTGAGTATGTGGAGATCCCTCTTCCTGATCCAGCTGACCTGCAACAAAACTCTTGTTACTTTTAGGCTTTTGAATACTACACTAATTAAATTATCTGAGATATTGACGTGACTGAGTTTTACAATTCACAGACATTTTTCATGACGACAGAAATTACAAAACAAAGCCAAGAATCGACAGCTTGAATTTTACTGATATTAAACAAATAAAAGAAACACATGTTGCTAAATTTAAATCAATATATTCTTTGTACCCTTGTGTGTAAAATCTGTGGCTGTGACCGCATGTAATTAATAACTCTTACATTAGACGCCTTAAGCTCTAACATTAGGAGCAGGCTTCGGGACCCTAGTAACCGTATTCGTCGAACTCGGCAAAGAGTTCGACGTGCAACCTAACAACTCATGCATCAGCCCGCTGAGTTTCTCGCCGAATTTTCTCAGCGGGTCGCGATTACGATCCGGTAGTAGATTAATTCGCGAAGCAGCTGCTCTTGAATTGTTAGATCTTCTTTAGAGGCACTGGGCAGCTGTTAGCAAATCCGGTGAAACTGGAAAGGCCTCCGGGCCACCATTAATAAAAAAGTCTGGAGTATAATGGATCCTATCTTCTTGTGAAGCATCGATTGATGCGTATGATATTTTCTTCTGGATTATACAAGTACAAGAGAATAACATTGTAATCGATTTTTAGCCGAGCCGAAATACGAGTTACAATGTTACTCCTTAAATGTGTCGATGTTTATGGAGAGCCGATCTCGCATTGTTCTAGTATTTTACTATTAATTTCGGATCCATCTAAAATTTGACCGCTCCGTTGGTCTTCTGGTCCATCTTCTGGTCAGCCAGAGTCAGTAACTTTATTAGATATATTAGAGAGAGAGAGAGTAATCGTCATCCGAGTGTACCATTTCTGCATGTCATCTGTTGAATATAGAACGTAAAAATATTTTATGATCCATCCATCAGTCATTAAAGAAAGAATAACTGTTTATTGAGATCATTGAAGAACATACGAGAACATACATTGAAGAACGCCGTTATTTTATAAATCCAAGTAAAAAAAAAAACTTTATAGACATCTGAAAAAAGGATAATGTCTTTTTAAGGATATAAAAATGCTAAACAAAACGTCAAAATGCTGTGAGACGAGACTGCGAGTTAGTTAAAACTATTGTGTTATTATATTAATGGAATGTTTAAAAAGTCATCAATCTCTTGTAAATTACACTCGCTTTGATGTTAATTGTTTTATAAAAATAAAAGACCACTTTGTGTTTTATTTTAGATGGAAATTTTTCCAAGAATGCTAGCTTTTTCATGGATTAGTTGTAATTAAAGTGAGCGTTCAGTTTTGACTAATTAGTCTCACTTTAACAATATGATAAAATTGTTTTTACAACTTTTGCTACTCCAAACTGAACGTAAAACTGGCGTAGTATGGAATTAAGGATATTAAAAAAGTGTTCATGATAATTTTTTAATCGACATCAAAAGACAGGCAAGGCCAACTAGCCCGATACTACATAAATTAATTATGTCATGGCATCATGGTGACAGCCAAGTATAATTTTAATTTAGCTTATAAAATAATCATTCTTATACGATCTTATCATTCATATACATAATAATGTATTACAGAAACTAACTAAATGTAGATAATTAATTTTATCGAAATACAATTTTAAGCTATATTATACCACACTTGTTTTGATAAAATTAATTACATGCTGAAAATGAGTTCTGTAATCTAATGTATGCTGTTTTCAAATAATTATCCATTTTATAAAAATAACTAGTGCTGCTTAGTGAATCTTTGTAAATGCCTGACTTCCAAAGTTGCAATTATCAATTTTCTGCCAAAGACGTAACGGCCAAAATTGGCCAGCTAGAAATCGGTATGCAAAAATGAGGCCATTATAGATAAAAACGTATTTAGTGATTTTTTGCAGTTAATGAGTTTGTGGCGACTCACTTACTCGCCACTACTTGGGCAACCGCCTTACAATTCGACGAAATCGCTGTCGCTTATGAATTCAGGCAATCATCTATTATTGTTCAACACTTCGGAATCTTAAGAAACTGCGGGCAGTACTCATCGATATTTGCTGTGCTACCCATCGTTCGTGTCAGTGCTTTACTACTTCTTTAAGTTAATTCTTTATCGTACCACTCTTGTCATAGTTTATTTGTGAATATTGCTATCTTCAATAAACTATTCAAAGCAGTACATATTCATACTCACTGTGTAAAACACCCTTCGTGTCAGCGCCTACCTAATACAGTTAGAAGCAGAACTAATACAACTACTTCTACAGTGGTGACCCTCGACAGCAAGAAGAACCGAAGATAAGTGGATTAAATGTATAATTAATTATCATCATATACATTATCGTTTTCGGCTATCACATTTTTGTTCAACAAGGTAGACGCAAAATATTTTTAAGTTCTTGCAATAAGCCGACGATATATCTTGTAATTTATAGACATATACCTCATCGTTAACATACTATTACATGTTATTCTATTCGGGCAGGAAAATGTACTGGAAAGGTACTCGCATTGTGTTACACTACTATGGGTTCAAAGGCTATAAATGTCTTGCTTCGAAATTCTGCTCGTAACAAAAACGAATTCCAGGTTGAAATTTATAAATTTTGTGGATGGCGATATGTATAGAACCCGAACGCATGCCTGTTCGCTAACATCCTGATTATTTCAGCCCCATAAATCCAATAAAAGTGAGACAACGACCTCAAGTATCAAAAGGCAAATGGCATACACTATGCCCATCTACACTTTATTCACGAAATATGTACATATATGTTAAATTTATCGGCCTGCTCAAAGCAAACACTTGGATAGACAGAATAAAATATGTTAAGGATGAAGCGCTTGACATTATTCTAAAAGGCAACGATGCCGAAACTCGACTGAACATTCTCAAAAATATATTTCGTATTGCTGTATGAGAAGTGGAAAATATACGCTGAAACTTCAGTGTGACAGTTTGGACAATGACAAAATCTAAAATGTATTACGATTTTGGAATTTTCTTCTCAAGAGCTTTGGACGGTTTGAAGAGAGACATGAGAAATTCTCAGACACTTCAATTTTGTTTCTACCTTCCGTTAGTTTTATTTTTGTTTCCATAAATATTTTTATAGTCTAGCTAGTGTTTAGCAATTACCCAGGAAAATAAATTGTAGAGGAAATAGACATCTTCATAAGGTTTAAGTCTTGGGTGAGGTTTATGAAGCGGTTAAGCCTGCGTATGTGTCCTTACGCTACGATCATGTCATGTGGTTTGTTAAATATGTCCGATGAAGATCTTCCACTGCGGCAGTCGAGAATTAACTTTGAACGCTCCAGTGTCTACATTAATAAATAAGTTATTCTATTATTTAGGTACATGAATGATTGCTTTAGAACAAGAAAAGGTAAATAATTCCTAAAAATATTCCTTTTTTCAATTAAATTCAAGATTTTTGCACCGTTTTTTTTATTTTCCATGTCATGTTTATCAGATTTGGTTGTGTTTGTAGTATCAGTGAAACCAAATAAATACTTTAAATAAGTTACTAATCTGGCTTAATTTCACGATAATTATATTAATGACAATCAAAAAATTAAAGAAAATACTACTAAAAATCTAGTAACAAGCTTTGGTCGTTCTAAATTTTAAAAGTTTACTGTGTTTTTTTTAATTAAAATCACTGATGAAAGCAAACTACTAGGGCAGCTATATTAAAATTTAAAGCTCTCAATAACACAGAGAAGAATATTTTTATTATCAATTCGAGCGATAACAACAGAGAATAAAAGATACAAGACAATAGTCTATCCATTAGAAGCAGGCGGAGCTTAATGGATCAAAGCGCTTCCTTTATGGTTCTATACGAGGTTAATCTCTGTTTAACACTTTCAATAATAAAAATTACGACTTTTACCTTTAAGTATTTAAACGTTTTTGCCTGAGCTTTTGGAGCCGAACAACACCCTCGAGCTAAGCTTTATTGCAAACAAAAATAGAAGGCAAGTTAAAGCACAGACTACAAACATTGTTCACAAGAATATATAATCCGAAAATCGTATACGGATATCTTGGACCAGTAGTCAGGGTACTAACCATTAGACCAACTAAAACAAAATTTAGGCTCGCAAGGATGGCTCGCATTACCTTCCTATTTTGGCCGCGACACGGTCGTGCGTTTTGGGTGGACAGATAAGACAGCCATAATACAAAACAGTTGAACTACGACCTTATCAATATGTCCAATGTAACTATTTAAAACCAGGTCAGACATAACGTCAGCAGATGTAAAACTATAAAGAAAATTTTATGTACTAATAAATATACTTATAAATCCCATATCGACGGGTGAAAGGTTAGGTTTAAGAAACATTTTTGCAACATCATGTATGTTTAGAGCAATTCAAACTTTAAATTTTGAGAAAAATATCCTTAAAAAACCAGCTATCTGAATGTGGTAAACACAATTGAAGTTTAATTAAAAATATCGAATTGTTAATACTCATTATCCTGCCCTTCTCCCAGTCACCTGGGGTCGGCGCAACATGTTTTCTCCTTCCATACTCTTCTATCATATACCATTTCTTCGCTCACTCCCCTCCTACCCATATAGTCTTTCACACAATCCATCCATTTCTTCTTAGGTCTACCTCTTCCTCTAAATCCTTCCACATTCATAGTTAACACTCTCTTAACAACCTCATTTTCATTTCGTCTCATCACATGTCCATACCATCCCAAACGTGCACTCCTCAGCTTCTCTGTCACAGGTGCCACTTTCAGACTTCCTCTAACATATTCATTTCGTATTCTATCCATTCTCGTTACTCCACACATCCATCGCAACATTCGCATCTCTGCTGCATGCAATCGCCTTTCATCCGCCACTTTCGTTGTCCAACAAGAATTGTTAATACTAATACCAAATAAAACGGACCTTTGATTAAACGGAAACGGATCGAATGATTTTCATAAAATTTAGTATACAGGGGATTTCGGGGGCGATAAATCGATCTAGCTACGATTTATTTTCAGAAAATGTTGTTTTATTCGTGTTTTCAATAATCAACTCTTCCCGACATCTATTGGCGAATAATAATACTATTTTTCTTAATTGAGGGCAACTAACCGCTTTAAAGACACAACAAGATGGCGTTATCAAAAAAAAAAAAATTAGCAAAGCTCGATCATCATCTAGTATCGCTTAAATAGCGTTTCGCACCTCGATATGAAGTGTCTAACAAAAAAATATGAGTTTTTTTATTGCTTAGATGGGTGGACGAGCTCACAGGATACCTGATGTAAAGTGGTTACTGGAGCCCATAGACATCTACAACGTAAATGCGCCAACCGCCTTGAGATATAAGAGATCCTACCACCAGTAATCACGAGGGGTCCTACCACCAGTAATTTTTTTTCGTTTTAAAGTTATGAGTATAAATTTAGCGTTCGACTTTCATACCAGCAGATACGTCAATAAGAAACACGAGTGCATTACCGTCGCGCCGGTTCGAAATCGTTATTGCAGCACGTTGCTGCGTAATGGCGTTCGTATCGATCGAAGAATACATTAATGGACAGTCATATCGGACGGTAAGCTGCTGGGCAATTTACTTGGTATCGTTTAAGATGGCGTTTGGTTTGGTCCTTGGGAATCCAAACTGAATATGAATCAAAGTTTGGTCGATTATGAGCTATGACTGATATCGAAAAGCAGTATATATTTTTTGCCGCTTTTTGCCACGTACCATCCGGCTTTGGAATGATCTCCCCTCCAAGGTGTTTCCCGAGTGCCATATCCTTTTTCAAACGAGGCTTGTGTAGAGTACTTAACAGCGTAACAGGTAAGCAGCGGCTTGGCTCTGCCCCTAGCACTGCTGAAGTCCATGGGCGACGGTAACCACTTACCAGGTGGGCCGATGCTCGTCTGCCTACAAGGGCAATAAAAAAAATGATTTGTATCGCTTACAAAAGAATGTTTTTTTTTCACCCACTATATAAAATTTGAAACGTACACACAAAGCGATACTCGTACAAGAGAAATTGTTGAAAAAATTGTTTTTTCTAAATATTATCTGTCAGTTTTAAATATATGTAGTTATCATTAGCGCATATCGACGCTTGAAAGGCAAACGTGACTAAGCGACAATAACTGCTTTGTACATAAATGATAGGCAATAACTATATTCGATGCACAAAAAAAATATATTTCTAAGTCTATTAAAATCATTTCAATCCTACAGCTAGATTCGTTAAAATTTTTTTTTTTTCAGGTATTTCTCATGTATATTTTAAATTAATTTCAACTTTAAATTAGTCTAATGTAAAGTTCACGCGTTGTCGCTTAGTCACGTTTGCCTTTTAAGCGTCGATATGATCATACTCGATCCTGTGGACTGAGTGGTAGACGGTCGACGTCACCCTAAACACGTCATTACGGATCCTCCCGATCCATTAACGGTGCTTTTAGGTACCTCAAGCACCGGTCAGCGCTCTTGCCCAACCCGTCGCTTGCGACAAAGGGCTCGACGAGTAAATTAACCCATAGACATAGCCCACTGAGGCTTTCGCCGGATCTTCTCAGTGGGTCGCGTTTCCGATCCGGTGGTAGATTCTGCGAAGCAATGCTCTTGCTAGGGCCAGTGTTAGCAACACTCCGGTTTGAGCTCCGTGAGCTCACCTACACGTCAAGGAGAAGCTGAATTAGCCTCTTAAGGCTATCAGCATAGGTAGGAAGAAAAAGTAAAAAAAAAAGCATATTATAACACTAGAGATTATGGTTGACCTGAAATTGATTGCCATACACCACATATATCCGAATCCTATACCTGAATATGCCACCTTAAATGTTTTCGACATACTACTACGGATGATATGATATGAATATGATGAATTCGTGTAATATATAAAAATAAAGTTATATTTGCGCTAAAGTTATATAATGTGAAGAAACATATTAAATGAAATGCCAAGGGCTCGGCTTATGTTGTTCCTTCATCGTGAAAGTCATCCGTGAACACGAGTTAAGTACGTATTTCATTACAAAACCTAATTTACCTGCCTGCGGGATTTGAACACCAAGATAAATCGCAGCGCTTTTACGAACAGGCGTGATGTTCTTTAGGCCACGACGACTTCAATTATTAATATTACGAAAATCACTCATCTTACACTCTTAGATAAATAAATCATTTAACTAACTATCTTCTTGCTCTTATTAGATATTAAGCTGCTTGTCATCTTTTGCCATTCAGGACTATTTATTACTGGTGGTAGGACCTCTTGTGAGTCCGCGCGGGTAGGTACCACCACCCTGCCTATTTGTGCCGTGAAGCATTAATGCGTTTCGGTTTGAAGGGCGGGACAGCCGTCGTAACTATACTTGAGACCTTAGAACTGATATCTCAAGGTGGGTGGCGCATTTACGTCGTAGATGTCTATGGGCTCCAGTAACGACTTAACACAGGTGGGCTGTGAGCAAGTCCATTCATCTAAGCAATAAAAAAAAAACGTCATCTCTGAACTAACATACTTCTTTCAAATATCCTCTTTCACACAGCCCATCCAAGTCTATTTAGAACGTCGCCTCTTAAGGAATAAATTATGTAGGAGTTAAATTGAAAAAGAGGTAGTTTTTTATTTAGAACATTAAAAAAAAAAAACCCCGAGCAAGTCCAGACCTACTTCCCTTTGAAAAAATCTCGCTAACCTACTTCGTTTCGCGTCAAATCGAACTAAAATAGCCAATAAAATCAATACCAGTCTTCGCGGCATGCAAAACGGCCCGAGACGTCATTGAAACGAGAATAACATACGGTAATGTTGAATTGAAAATACATCTCTCTTTTCCCCACGCGGTAACAGAATAGAGAACGTTCGGAAATTGGATATACACAATTGAATATTTAACTATATGCGATAGTGTTGGCTAAAAACTTAACAAAACGCAATGAAGAATCTTCATTAGCCTTTGTTCATCGTCCATCGCTGCTAAAATTATAAATTATTCGAAAGAAATGAGCAAGAGTTTATTTTTTTATTGCTTTGATGGGTGAAGTCGTCGCGGCATTACTGCTTCACGGCGGAAATAGGCGGGGTAGTGGTACCTACCCGTGCGGACTCTCAAGAGGTCCTAGCACCAGTGATTACGCAAATTATAATTTTGCGGGTCTGATTTTTATTACACGATGTTATTCCTTCACCGTGGAAGTCAATCGTGAACATTTGTTGGGTACGTATTTCATTAGAAAAATTGGCACCCGCCTGCGGGATTCAAACACCAATGCATCGCTCGATACGAATGCACCGAATGTCTTGTCATTTAGGCCACGACGACTTCTAAGCACACTGAACGCCTAAATATTTCGAAGCAGTAAATTTATTAGATGTGTACCTAATATTCATACTTACAGCTTTGTCCCCTAGTTGCTCTACCCTGCAGTGGAGGAAGGCGGTCTGTCCGACTACTGTGGTCACATTCCTCGGTACGTTGTACTCGAAGTACGGAAAGGAACCCACACTATCTTCTCCGTAGTGGGCTGTACCTGCAACAACTATGATTTTTTAAAGTTATTTTTTATCAATTTTCAAACAACATTTAGAAAAAAGCTATTAAAGCCAAAAGGCTATCTTTAAAATTTTTGTTCGAAATCTGATTGAAATTCAATTGAATTGTGATAGCACTGGTTTTAGTCTTCAAACTACATGTATCAGAACAGAAGTAGATAGGAGATGTTTAAAAATCACGACCATTGATAATCGTAGGACGCATTCTGATCTAGCACGATATGTGTAAAGATAATGGTAACAATTGCGTGATAATATAAGGCCTCTTTTTAGTTTTCAAGCAGGAGGGCGAAACCTCATATCATGAGGTTTAAGCGCGTAAGGGTCACCTTCTTGGCCTTCCTCCTGGTACCTGCTCTAGAGTGACGGTAGACTAGCGCATGGTCTACCTTATTATGGCATACTATTAGTAAATGTCGGTTGGCGGTCAGATTAAATTAGTGTAGATATTAAAAAAGGCTGCTATAGTGAACTCTTTTAATTCTCTGTCGAATCCCCTTAGTCGTTACATTAAGAGAAGAAAAAGGTTGATACTATTCTATATTAATACCAAGTATACGTGCTTTATTAAATAATAGGAATTATATCTAGTACGCTTCGTACAGTAAAAAGACCCAGCGTCAATTTAAATAAAATTTGAATAATTGAGGCACATTTAAAAAAAAAAACACAATGTTATTACATGACTCATTATGAGTTTCTTAGTATTCCTTTTGTAAGTATCCACACAAATGGAATGTTAAATGAGACAATTAGCAAAAACAAAGGTGTTTTGATTAAGAAATTATTCTGGGTCTGGAGCGAGAAAGGTGTGTGTGTGGCCTATTTCTGGGTATGGTATTCCATCAGACATTGCCGATAGTTAAATGCTTAGGGATGTATACTTGCGCTAGGAAGCATTATTAACTGCTTTTCCAGAATTTATCTATTTTCTGCGGCGTATATGTCTATACGTATAAGCGAAATATAGAGTAACTTAATCTCGGGGTTTCTCTGAAGCATGAAATGGCAAAAGAGGCTTTCCGACCGAGTATCAAAGTCACAGACGTATGCTGAAGTGGCAGAATGCTGGACACATCGCAAAATGTCTGACCTAAAAAAAAAAGCTATAATAACTAAAGTAATAATAATTGATAATATTATAATACGCTACTACTATATTAAAAAACAAGAAAGTATGTATTATAATATGAGTCGTCTATTATCAAAGGTGGCAATCTGTGAATTTGGACAAAAAATTTTTATTGATATGTCAATACAGATTGATTTGAATATAATCGTCTCCTTCAAAGAATACGGTTCAAAACCTGCATTAAATAAAGGTTAATACTTAACCTGTTATTTATCTAAGATGTCGTTCCGAAGAGTTTTGTGACTGCCAATCGAACACAAAGTCAATAATTCGTTTTTCTGATTTACCAATCATTGTCCAAAAGTCAGATTGCCGGCTTTGATAATAGTCGACTCATATATTCTATCAAGCACCACAAACTTTTTTAGATTTTTCCGTTGAATACTTCGGAAATTGTTCTCTAATCGAATGTTCCACATACTTGCCTGTGCAGGCTGTATTCATTGGAAGCCTGAACCAAGTTAAATTCCTATGCAGCAATTATGTGATACGTTAAAATTTAAAAACGCCATAAATTACCATTGAATGTTCACAATGATTAATTTGATATCTCTTACTTAATTTTCAAAAAGATTTACCTATTACTATTACAATTGCTTTAAACTGTAGCGATTTAATTAGAATCAATTTTTCTTATCCTCTTTTGAAAATTGTCAATTGCATTTTTATTATTAAAACAACATATTCATGTTTACTCGCAATTAAACGAAGTGCTTTCATTTTGTCAGATTCATCTAACAAACATTTGTCGTCACCATTTTACTTAATACATTATATATTGCGTTTTTCATATCGACAGGTATTATAAATATTGCATATCGAGAGGTAAAATGCTATTTGGGTTTAAGCGATATTTTTGCAACTTTACAGGAAAGCCATTTACAGTTTAAAATTAGATAAATTATAATCATAACAAAAAAAAGTTTCAGCTATTTGAATGGAGTAAGTTTAATTGAAGTTCAATTAAAAAGATTGAACTGTTGATGCTAATCACTACATAGTATAAAACAAAGTTTTCTCTGTCCCTATATCTCTCTGTCCCTATGTATGCTTAAATCTTTAAAACTACGCAACGGATTTTGATGCGGTTTTTGTTAATAGATAGAGTGATTGAAGAGGAAGGTTTATAATATATGTATAATAACATCCATTAAATAGTGGAGAAATCAATAATAAATTACAGTTTCCGAAGCGAAGCGAGGGCGGGTCTCTAGTACCAAATAAAACAAACAAACAAATGCCGCGTATTAATCGTAATGTAACTTTAATCAAATGGCCTTTAGCCCCCGATATAGTCTCTTTAAAAGACTTCCAATGGAGTCTTATTTACCTATATTTTTAATAATTGCGGAGAAATAAACTTAGTTGGATTCAAAACAAGTGCCCCAACATTATCCGGACCTTTTCACGCAACACTACCATCTCTCGACCAATTTCCTACACCTAAACGCGAAACTCACACCTCATTTACCCCGTTTTTACTATTTTGCTGTTACACTTAGTCGCAACGTAGATGAGATCGTGACACGGCGACTTTAGGTTGATTTTCCTTCGACACTACATTCAGATAGACTATAATGATAGTTATTGTTGCCAGTACGTTGTCGCTGTGCTGTGGCCGTTTAATTAAGGACCCGAAGTTTTTGAATGTTCTATTCTAGTGACCGTAAAATGCTATGGGAATCGTCACACGCTGTGGTACCAAATTTTTGGCCGTATTTATTATTACTGTTATTTAGATAGGTTAACCAAAGACCCTTGAGAGTCCTTGAGTACCTGATCACCACAGTTGGCACCATTGGAATAAAGGCAAATTATTACAGCAACAAAAACCTTGCTGGACGCATTTGCGTAATATTAACCCTGATTAATGTACCAGGGAGCTTAGCCGAAGTAAACTTAGTATTTAATAAAAATATTGGTGAACCAAGCTAGGCTATATTTTCCTAACATATATGTTCTAGGATCAATGTTAAGCAAGTAATTCCGCTTCGGGAAAGATATATGCTAAACATTTTAGTTCCACCGTAATCAATATGAAGCAAAAACTTTGTATCCCTTTTTACGAAAATTGCACGGACGGAGGAGTATGAAATTTTCCACACTTGTAGAGAATATAGAGAAGAAGTGCACAATGCTAATAATTTTTTTAAATAATGCATAAAACATATATTAAATCAATAAAGAAAACATTACACACACTACATACCATGTATTTGACGCACACACGCATGCATACTATTTATTGTCAAACTTTTGTTCTTGACGTCTGTGGTCAAATTGAGAATAGATTAAATATTGTTTGTCGTTATTAATATTTTTTTATAGTGTAGCCTTGGTGAAATTTGTGATTAGAGAAGTATAAAATACAATCATAATAGTGTACAAACTTACAATTCCAATTAATTATAGTCGAATTTCGACTACTGCGGGACCTCTAGTTACTGGAAATTTAGAATACGTATCATTACTGCGTGTTCGAGTATAGTTGATATTTTGTTCTATCTTTGTGAAAGTCACTTTTGGAAAAAATAGTTAAGAAGATAAGTCCGTGTCCAAATCGTACGGCGGCATAATCTCATGCGTGCGACCCGGCATTTTACGAATGACCGGTTTTTTGACCGGTTTTTAACCGGTTTTACAAATTTAAAATTCTATTCTTCGTATATTTCTAGGCTTGATTTCGTTTGACAGATCGTGCATCATGCATATTCATAAGTCTTCCGACATTTTTTTACGTGTCTCAATGGTTTTACTATTTTCTAAGCATATTATCTCTAGCTAAACAAAGTTTGTAGCTATAATTAAATAGCAGTTCGACACTCGGTTCATCTGATCAGATTTAACCGCTTAATCAAATCGACTGGGAAATTGCAGGACTAAGCAATTATTATTATTTTTACGTTATTACCTGCGATCAGTCGCTAAGAGTGAGAGAAGAGTGATCAGGTGAGTTACGAGAGATCAGGGAATGGCAAGGCAGAGCCTCCGTCTCGTCTTAGTAGGATAAAACATCGGCTTTCTAGACTCAAGCAAGCAACTTATTTGGCAATATTTTGAATACGTCGTGGCCTAAAGGATAAGACGTCCGGTGCATTCGTATCTAGGGATACAACGATGTTCGAATCTCGCAGGCGGGTACCAATTTTTCTAATGAAATAAGTACTTAACAAATGTTCACGATTTACTTCTATGGTGAAGGCATGGCATCGTGTAACAAAAAACAAACCCGCAAAAATATAATTTTTCTCCTACATACACCGAAAGTTCGGTTTTCCTCCTGCTGTACAGGGAAGAAAGTCTAACTTTTCCTCCCTGGATACTGACAAGTGCGCAAGGGCGTTAGTGTCTACGTCTGCTCTCACGCACCTAAAATTCTCCGCCATTATTGTGCTGGGTAATTTGCAATATAGTGTTTAACACAATAATGTTTAGTGTAAAAGTGAAATAAACACAACTCAATAAAATTTAATAGTGAAGTATTAAACAAAGATGAGTTCATCAGACAGTTCTTATTCAATTAGTAGTAGTTTATTTAAAAATTAAAAAACAGTTAAATTGTTTTTTTATGAGTACTGGGGGGCTCCGCCTCCCCTGCCCCGGCCAGGGCTTCGCTCCCGGACCCCGGTTCGGTATTCCACGAACTTTCGGCCTGGTAGGAGAAAAAATAGTATGTGTACACAATGTACTATTGCGTAATAATGGTGGTAGGGCCTCTTGTGAGTCCGCACGGGTAGGTACCTTGCCTATTTCTGCCGTGACGTGCCGATACGCCTGCATCGGTTTGAAGGGCACGGCAGCCGTTGTAACTATACTGAGACCTTAGAACTCATATCTCAAGGTGGGTGGTGCATTTTCGTTATAGATGTCTATGGGCTCCAGTAACCACTTAACACCAGGTGGGTTGTGAAATCGTACACCCATCTAAGCAATAAAAAAAAATCTATCGGTTCGAAGGGCCACTGAAGGTGGGACAGTGTGTTTTTAAGCATATCCACTAATATTGTATTTATTATAAGATACTGATATGTTTTCAAAATTTAAATTTACTAACTAGCACAACAAGAAATTTCAAAAAAAAAAAGAATTACAAAGCTACGTCGGAATAGTATAGAAAAGAGCGACGTTATAATAACGTAGTAAATAAAAAGTTATTTATATATTGAACATCAAATAAAATAAAGACATTTAATCGAATTAAAGCATTACCTTTGTAAATCTTATTAAAGCCAATGTAATGCTATTGATTAGTCTGCCGTGATTTCACGCTTGCCTTTTAGGGTCGCCGCAAACGGGCCACTAGGCACATCCACAATCGCCGCCACTTGAAGCTAGAAAAGAAGCTGATGCGCGCGACTGCCACTTGTGGTACAGTTAGACACTTTTTTTATTGCTTTGATGGGTAGACGAGCTCAAAGCCCACCTGGTGTTAAGTGGTAACTGGAGCCCATAGACATCTACAACGTAATTGCGCCACCCACCTTGAGATATAAGTTTTAAGGTCTCAGTATAGCTACAACGGCTGCCCCACCCTTCAAACCGAAACGCATTACTGCTTCACGACAGAAATAGGCAGGGTGGTGGTACCTACCCTTGCGGACTCACAAGAGGTGCGGTACCACACTTGCGGTCGGTGGCCGTTACTTTTTTTAACGCGTGCTTGCAGTGTCATAATGGACTCCGGCGAAGAAATGAAGGGAGAGAGGGGTGGGGAGCCGCGCGAGTGGCTTGTGTGTCTAGAGTCGAGCAGTGGCGATTTGTGGCGTGTGGCGACCACCAGCGCCTACAGTGCGCGGCGAGTCCATGCAAAATGTATGAAAATAACAGGAAATAGGTTTGTGGTTGTGGGCATAGGGGAAGAAGGAGAAGTCTCTAGCCCCTACACACAAATGACGCAATGTGACGTCACCAATGTTCTTTTTTATTGACCGCTCTTAGTGCTCATATACACGAACGGCATGTTGTCAACGGCACAAATAATTGCAGCCGTCGACATTTCAACTGTGAAGATCAGCGGCAGCCGTCGTCAGCTCACATAGTATAGGAGTTTAGGAGTCAGTTGCAGAATGGATTCCGAAGAAGAGATACTGTTATTACTTTTACTTGGTCGACGCTGACGAAAAAGAAAATAATATATATGTATGGTGTCGTGGGACACCGGATAGGAACGAATTTCCTTATTATAAAAATATTAATTTTAAGTTCTATTCGAGGTATAAAGAGAATAATTATTCGGGTATACACTTTTATTATGATTTTTTATTGAAAAAAATAAAAACAATCGCAAGAGTCAACCACTCCGCAGTGCAATAGAGCAGCCTCGCCCTGGGGGAACCGCCTGCATGTTCATGATATCCCCATAGGCCAGGTAAGTATGATTTAGCAAGAGAAATACGAGAACGTCTATCAACTGTGTAACATTTCGTCACCGCGATTCAGGAATTGTTCAATCTACGTGCAGTGACGTCTGTTGATAACAAAGGGCATAAACTAAATAAAAAAAATTTTACGTTATGGACGTTTTTTCCCGGTTGGGGTACCCCTCCCCATCGTCCCATAAGGAACTTCATTCCAAAAATACGTTCATTATGGGTTCAAGAAACATTAATCACTATCTTGATCTCATGATGACATTTTTTTACTTTCTATCCACTAATTATATAATATAACCATAAGAAATTTTATTGTTTTATTACCTACTGTATTTTTTCAATTTATAATGCCAAATACAAAGTATTCTTCTTGATGGCCACAATTAGCAATTCAACATCAATTTCGTCACTAGAAATCATTTCACTATTTCCGTCGCATGCGCACTCTTGAACTATATGTGGTCGCCTGGCAAAATGGCGGACGCGGCACGCTACAATTGCAAATGTCGCTATAGGTCGACGGCGGTAGTTGCCTGTGTTGTTGACAACATGCCGTTTATTTGTATGAGCCTTAAGAGCGGTCAATAACAAAGAGCATTAGTGACGTCACATTGCGTCATTTGTGGTTAGGGCTAGCAACTCAAGACTTCTGCTTGTTTCCCCTATGTTTACTCAAACTGTTTGATCTAGGTTTTGTATGGGACCTAGGCCAGGGTAAACTTGATCATAGGTTCAGAAATTTGAAAATTCACTTAAAGTATAATTTTATTAGTACCATAAAATTTTATTAGTGTTAATAAATTTTCTTATTAACGAAATCTTGCAGTTCTTGTGGGGGATTAAGTCACAAAATGATTCTAGATATAAAATTCCCGCGCAGAACTTTAGCGACTGAAATGCGCTTAGACACTGGTACTTTTAAGGCCCTAAGAGGCTTTACTAAAGCCATTAGGTCAAGTGGCGAGTCTGCGAGGCTTCCTCTAAGCCATTTACATTAATAACGATTCCATGATGTCTTAGGTCTGGCGGACTTAGACTGCAAGGCTGTAAACCAGGGGAATACACAAATCGTAACAGGGGAATTAATTTGTGAATATTAATTAATGTATGTTCGTGAATATTAATTGATTAATGTGAATTCAAATAGTCCCGTGTCAAATTAAATGTTGCAAATTTTCAAATTAATCGTGTTAATCGTACCGCTTGAAGTCTGTGAAAACATACATACATATCAATAACAATAAAAGCATATAAAAAAGATATTTAATAAAAGAATAATATTAACAAAATAAAGAAGAGAATACTGATATATGGCGTGATATATGATATATGACGATATGCGTTGAATTGTTTTATTTATATCCAAACCCAAGCTGTGGACACGAACAAGGCTGCTATCAAAGACGATAAATTACGTTGAACCACTCAGAATTTCAGGCTTATGATTTGACACAAAAAAAAATCTTTTCCGTAAATTACTTTTCTACACCTGTCAGAATTTATTAAAACTTGTCCGACACGAGCCTTTGAAGTGCCGGCTCTCAGTCATATCTTCCGAAAAATTGACGAGGAATAACAAGGCGTAGCTTGAGTGTTCTGTATCAACGAAAATTGTTATCGTGAGGTATTTCGAGACTCACTGGCGCCTCATGAGCCCGCATGAGCAAGAACCATCACCCTGCTTATATTTGCTGCAATGCAGTAAGATTTTCATTTCGAAAGGTTGGATCGTCGTTATACTATAGAATTAAGGCTCAGACCTCATATCTGAAGGTGCGTGGTGACATTTACGTTAGGTCCCAAGCCCTGATGAGAAAAGAGGAGGGTTGGCGTCGGTATGCCACCTACCCTGCCGTAAAAATATAACGCCGAGCAACGGGCGGCGGTCAAGTAACCCGAACTAGGGATTCAGTAGCCCAAAGCAACTAAATCGCCTCTGAAATTCTGCTGTGGAAGGCCGCGGGAACCCACCACTAGCAATTTTCCCAAGAAAACCTTTACGTATGTATTCCGCGAAGGTCACGATCCTCAGCACTGAGGAACACGACACACGGAGGAGGAGGTATGAGGTCCGCTCCCTTAAACATCCTTGGACCCGCGGTCTGCTTTCAACATCTGCAGACCATCAAGTCCCACATAGCCAAAAGCCCCCTAGGCGTGGAAGCCTCGCATGAGGTTCGGCCCTTGCCCGAAAAAAAGGTATGAGGTCCGCTTGTAATCATCAAAATGTTGAGACTAGTCCTAGATGTCTTAAATTAGAACGAGTGATGACATGTTGAATAGTGATGTTGCGTGTGTTCTCACGGTTTCTAGCCATTGAAAAAACCATGACCTGACATCCGATTTATTTATAATAGACATCAATGTTGGCAAATCTTTTCTTTATTTGGTCCAACTTCCATATCCACCAGAAAAAGAGCAACAAAAAACATCGAAATCAATTTTAAAACCGATTCTCATGAAACTCAAGGAAAATCTTCAGTTTACCATGACTACACGCTACAGTGAGAAATCTGTTTGATTATTCGAACAGCCAATTGAACCCTAAAAAACTTTCTCCGAACGCCTATCACGCGGATTGGTACGATTCCGGCCGGTCAAGTGAAAGGTACCTAAGGTGAAGGCAGTGTTTGAATACAGATTGGTTTATTTCCCCCGAGGACATCTCAAAGCGTTGAAAGCGAATGTGATAAACAGAGAACGTGCGAACATTAAATATCTTTGAAGAATCTATCGACGTGCAAGTTCTTGATTTCAAAATCGTTTACCGTTGGATGAAAGAAAACATAGCAAAAAGATTCAAATTATTAAGCTATTGCATAGCTTCTATCGCGGGCCTTGAGCGCGGCGACTGAATCAAGAAATTCCGTAACGAAAATATCATGACACCCCCATTACGCCTACTATGTAGCTCGCGTCAACACATTCACACGTCGCGTTGGTGTAGTGTTTGTGAATAAGCGCGCGGCGTGACGTCGCACTGCATGAACATCATGAAAAGTCTGCCCATCTCTCTCTCACGTAGTCTAGCTTATGAGTGTGAAGGGGACAGTTAATGTTTTGCTTTTGTTAATGTTTATAAATATAGCGTGGTCTTATTTTTATTATTGTTTTAATATTAAATTATTATTGTCTAATTGTAATTGCATAAGTTGATAAAAAATGCTTTGCAATAGCTTTACCGCGGCCGTCCCCGAGCGCCACACGTCTTTTTTTCTCTTTCACTTGCTTCTTATTCTCTTTCTTAATTTATTATTTCCTCTTGTTCACCATAACCGATACTGAAAGTAGGATCTATATTAGTAATCAGTTAGCTGTTTGGTAAAAATATGGCGTACTCTACTACAGATGAAGAAAATAGTAGCAGAACTTTTATAGTTTGTACACCTCTATATATCTCCCAATTAATAAACCAGCTAAACTAGCATAGTTTAATTGCTGCTTAATATTGATTAACTAAGCTTCACTTTAGGACCAAATCAACAAAGCAATAAACGTAATGTTCAAACAATAAGCACTAAAACTTAGTATCAAAGCTGTGGCCGCAATGCAACCGCTGACTACGCACTGCATCATATAACTACCGTTTGTGCTTTGCATAACGATTGAAACTTTTACAATAAAGACTGTGAAGGATTTTGCTGTATACCGAACACCCGTTTGTTCGCAAATGAGAGAGAAGTTTAATATTGTTTCCAGAGAGATGTATGAGGTAAATATTAAAGAGGTCCTTATTGAAATAATCGGAGAAGGCGGAGACGCAAATGAAACTCCAACATGCGTTTTGAAGGTTCACGTTTTTATGTGTAATTCTAAAAGCAGATTTTAAAAGAAATAATGCACTTATAACTTGACCTCTTTACATTTTTTTGTTAATAAAAATAGAGTTGATTGTGTATAAGATGAGACCCACCCGTTTTTTGTTACTGTTACATAATAAAAGGATTTTGCGTCTTGTTGGGTCTAACCTATTTCTGTTAGCGAATAGTTATTAAGAGTAAGGTAATTTTTGCCCTTATGCTATAAGGACACTGCCGCCCGGATGTTTCAGGATGTCCACGAGGAGAATGCATTGTTGTGTTAGAGCTTATCGGAGCTCGTAAGCAATTAGTAGACGACAGACTCATAGACGATAAAGATATGAATTTTCAAATAAATGTTTGGACATTGTGGATTTGTTCATCTTATTAATGACATGTAAGCATGAGTGATCCTCGGGATATTAAGAGTCAAGTTTGAAGTAAATATATTAATGTACATGTAATTCCTGGCCGACGGTAAATTAATTTAACTAGAGATCCCGCAGTAGTCGAAATTCGACTATAGTTAATTGGAATTGTAAGTTTGTACACTATTATGATTGTATTTTATACTTCTATAATCACAAATTTCGCCAAGACTACGCTATACAAAATATTAACAAAGACAAACAATATTTAATCTCAATTTGACAACAGACGTCAGGAACAAAAGTTTGACAATAAATAGTATGCATGCGTGCGTGCGTCATAACATGGTATGTAGTGTGTGTAATGTTTTCTTTACTGATTTAATGTATCTTTTATGCATTATTTTAAAAATATATTAGCATTGTGCACTTCTTCTCTATATTCTCTATAAGTGTGGAAAATTTCATACTCCTCGGTCCGCGCAATTTTCGTAAAAAGGGATACAAAGTTTTTGCTTCACGTATTAATATATAGATATATTTGGAAATGTAACCACAACGATTTCGGTATACTTTAAATAGTATTTGACTGGTGGTAGAACGTCTAATAAGACAACACGGACGGTCAAACGTCAGTATCATCCCTGATTCTATTAGAGCAATCACATGTTGAGGTTATAGTATAAATTAGGTTCTCGATATCATATCTCAAGATAGATGGTGGATTTCCATATCCACCTAGAGGGCTGTTACTTCAATTCATTTCATCTAGTGCAATAAAATAATATTTTGTTTGGATAACGTAATAAATATTTTTAAAATATTGTCGAGAAACG